CCTTTAACCTCAGTGTGAAGGGGATGCACATGGATTTGTCAACAGAAGTGCAACATGCTCTTTAAAGTTTTAAAGCTTCATTGTGACCACTGTGCTAAAAGGGGGCAATAACAGGGCAGGTTAGAAGGAGGATACCTGTTCCTGCTAGAATCTGTGGCTGTGGTTCAATTGGAGTGTGATGTGGGCTGGGAATGGCTTGTTCTTGTGAACATAGGGTTGTTATTGGACTCTGGGTGTCCCTCAAAGTTGGAGTAAAGGGAATGTCTTGACAGATTGGATCGCAGCATAAATGAAAGAGAGATGCAGGAATGACTCCAGGGATTCCGACTGCAGGAACTAAAAAGGGAAGTTTCCTTCTACCAAGACACAGAAAGTCAGATTTGGAAGCAGTAATCAAGAGATTGTTTCACACGGTCTTGGTTAAAACTCACTGTTGAATATCTAAGTGTAGTATTAGTCAAGCAGACCGTTATACAAATGCCAGTCTGGGCTGAAAATAAAAATGTGGAATTCATTTAGCATTTACTGACCTGGTCCAAAGGCATGCTGAAACTTACAAATGGACTTTGGTACAGACAGAGAAAACTCTCTTTAATTCAGGCTTGATGCATGGGGAAATACTTTCCTTAGAAGGTTAGCAGTTGCTGTGAGGAACCAAAACACCAAAAATTCCGAGGGAGGGCAACCATCTTCTTTAATCCAAAGAGCTGTGATCTCAAGAGGGTGAGACAAGTACCCATTGCTTTTTCTTTGTGGGTTTTCTTTCCACCCCTTGACCTTTGGCACTGGCATAGTCATTGGAAGTCCAAGACAAAGTAATGTAAATATAGCCCCAGTGTTCTGGCCAGAGGGCCCCCAAAACAGGGCATCCCAGAGCACTGCACAGCACCAGAGAGATGATGAATAGACGGGTCAGCAAAAATAAGTCCACAGCGTTGTTTTGTTAACCCCTGGACATTCCCTCCTGAGCTGTGCCCGTGTCTCTGATAGTAGATGAGGCACTTTAGAGACTGCACCAGAAGTCAGACCACTGCACACTCGTGTATTATTAGTGAAAGGATAATCTGTTGATCTTTCCCTCTTCCCCACAGCAGAATCTAGAAATAGATCCATAGGAGCGTGGTCAGTTGATATTTCACAGGTACAGAGGGGCTTCAGGGGAGCAATTATGATATTAGAAAAATTGGGCAGCTACATGCAGAAGAATAATAAAAAGGAATCTTGATTTAAACATCAAACTTGTCCAAACACCAGCTCAAAATAGATCATAAATGTAATACTATACAATTTTTAAATCTTTGTGGAGTCACGTTTTGACTCTTATTCCCCAGTGTGTGAGACCAAGGGATGTGGTCTATTAGTAGGAACTCAGTATTACAGAATGTATGTATTTCTTTCCCTGAAGATGGCAGTGAACTTCAGAGTGGGTCTATAAAATACACTGCAGCATTAATATCATAGGAATAAGTTATTTAACTGCCAGTTTTCTTTGTAAAAAGTAGCTTTATTATTTTATATGTCCAAATTATATAATAAAATAATTGATGATTTTGATTCAGTTGCTTTTTATAATCTCAAATTGATGTGTCTGTTATTCTCATTTTAATTTTTTCTTGTTTTTAATAACTAGCATGTTGTGTTTTTAAAAAGAATATTCATTTTTTTGAGGTGCAAGTTACTTTCCTTTTGGCCAACTGTGATTAAGATAGCTTTATTTGCATTTTAATAGTCTGTAATGTTTGTTTTATGTATCATGCTAAATAGATGGTCTCAAGAATCACTTGAAGCACTGTAGAAAGCAGATGTCAAAAACCTGTCCTTGCTGAGCCTCGTGATGCATGCTTGTAATCCCAGTGGCTCAGGAGGCTGAGGCAGGAGAATCGTGAGTATAAAGCCAGTCTCAGCAACTTAGTGAGGCCCTAAGCAACTTAGCAAGACCCTGTCATGAAAGTAAAAATAAAAAGGTCTGGGAATGTTAAGTGCCCCTGGGTTTAATCCCCAGTACCAAACAAACAAACCAACAAATAAAACTACCCTTGTCTCAGAGTAAGTAAATAAAATATGTGGAAAGTTAATGAAAGACAGTAAATTAGTTTTCCCTGTAAATTAGGAAGTGTGGAAGTTCATTTTTCTCATCCTTTAAAAATAAAATTGAATTCCCTTTTCCCACATCATCCATTTTGGTGACTGATGTTTTAACTCTGTAGTGCCTGGAATGTGAAAAGGGGCGTGAGCTGTTCAGTCCTAGAGGCATGTTTTGGTGTGTGCCCATGGGTGTTTCATCTGAGAACTTCTGTGCCTGGCCTCATGATGACAGGAACTCTCATTTGGAACAGTGAAATTAAGAGTACTTTTCTTTCACTTATAGAAATTACACGCACATATCAGCTTAGCGCTAGCCTTATGATGAAATTCTGATGATTAGCTTTTCTCCACCTGTGAAGCACAGTAGGCACTCACAGCGGAACCTTCCCAGTGAGGTGCTCTGGGCTGGAGTCCTGACTGTCACAAAATTGTATGTCTTTAAGCAGATTATTTTTCCCTTTCCCACTGCTGCTTTGTAAAACGAAGCTAATAATAATGCCCACAGAGTCGTGAGAACTGACTAGGACAGGACGTGTAAACTGCCTGTAACAGTGCTGGCACATTGTAAAGATCAGCACTTGTTAGTTCCTAGTTGGTGCTAGCTGTGATTTTTCTTCTTTTCAAATGCCTTTAACAAGTTACAAAGCTTTCCTGTGTACTTGTAAAACTTTAAGGAGGTAAGGTTGACATACGATTAACACATATGTTTTAGCATACAGTTTGGTACTAAATGTTTTGATATATACACATGATACTATGTCTTTTGACATATATACATCCATGAAATCATAGCCACAGTCAAAATAAAGGACATATCCACTCCCCCCCGCTGAAATTTTGTTATGAAACCACCAAACTACTTCTTGTCACAATACATTAGTTTTCAGTTTCTAGAATTTTGTGTGATTATCATACATTGTGTAATCCTTTATTTGCCTGACTTCTTTCTCTTAGAAATACTGATTTCTTCCCATTGCTGAGTGGTATTGCGTCTTACGGTATGCCACAGTTTGTCTCCTCACACAGGGATAGGCATCTAGCTTATTTTCAGTTTGGGCTGTTATGAGTAGAGCTGCTGGGAACAGGATATGTACGAGCCTTCGTATGGATGTATGCTTTCAGTTACTAAGGCCAGTGCCTAGGACCGAGATGGTTTCGAGTGGTAGGTGTGTGTTGATACTTTTGATATACTACCAGGCTGGTGGTATATACTGTGTTGGTGTCGGCAGTACGTGAGGGATCTCACTGGCAGCAAGGGAGAGTCAGAGTTTTTTCACACATCCCTGCGGTTGCTGGGTAAGGTCAGTCTTTTTGATTTTAGTCTTTCTCACCGGAGGAGGGTATCTCATTGTGGTTGTAATTTGCATTTCCTTAATGTCTAATGGTATTGAGCTTCCTTTCTGTCATCTGTATTTCTTCTCTGGTGACATAGCTATTCAGATGTTTTACTTGTTTATTGGGTTGTTTCAATTTTGAGTTCTGAGTTTCCTTATTTTGAGCATTATAAATACAAGTCCTTTATTCAGTATATGCTTCATAAATGTTTTCTTTCCATCTGTGACTTTATTCTCTTAACTATGTCTTTCAAACAGCAAAAGATGTTAATTTTGACAGAGTCTAGTTTATCAGTTTGTTCTTTCACACATTATGTTTTTGGTGTGATTTCTCAGAAATTCTTGCCTAAAGTCACAAATATTTTTCTCCTATTTTTTTTTTAGAACTTTCCTTGGTTTGATTTAAATTTATATCTCTTATCCATTTTTATTCAGTTTTTGTATATGGTGTGAGGTATGGATTAATATTTTTTGTGCATAAAGACACTGCTTGTTCCAGCATCATTTGTTGTACCTTTGTTTAAAAAAAAAAAAATGAAGTGTTTTTTATGTGTGGTTTATAGCTGGACAATTCTGTCCAATTATTTGTCTGTTTTAATACCAATACTATACTGTGTCGAGTACTGTAGCATTATAATCTTGAAATCAGGTAGTATTAGTTTTTCTACTTATTTGTCAAAGTTGTTTTATCTGATCTGGATCCTTCGTGTTTCTTTATGAATTTTGGAACCAGCATGTCAACTTCTACAAAATCCTGCTGGAATTTTGATTGAGGTTACATTCATTCTTTGGATCAGTTTGTGGAGACTTGATATCTTCCTGACTTTTTAGAACCACAGTGTCTATTTTTGTTAGATCTTCTCAGCATTTTTTAATGTTCAGTTCTTGTCTGGCAGAATGTTCTGTAAATACAAATCAAGTTGGTTGACAGCGTTATTCAGATTTTCTATGCCTTTCCTGGTTTTCTTTCCACTTATTCTGACAGTTGTTGAGAGATCAGAATTTGAATTTCCAACGGTAATTGTAAAGTCATCACCTTTCTCTTTGTAGTTCTGTTGTATTTGCCTTTGTATTTTGAAGTTTTGTTAAGAGCACAGACATTTAGTTTGCTCACATCTCTTGGTGAATTGACCTTTGTATTATTTTTAAAATCATCTTTTTTTCCCCCCTTAGTGATGTTCTTTGCTTTGAAAACGGTGTCCTGTATTCATATGGCCTCTGCCGTGGACGTTTGACTAGGATGGCCGGATGTAGCCCTTTGTAGTTCATTTCTGGGCTCTCCTCCCTGGATTCTTAGTCTGTGTGTGTTTATTAGTCAGCATACTGGTGAGCCTTGTTTTTTTAATCCTATCTCACAACCACTGTCTTTTTAATTGGGAGATTCAAGTCATTTAAGTTTAATTTAATTATTCACATTGTTGTTTAAATTTCTCATTTTCTTATTTTTTTCTATTCTGTCTGGTTTTGTTCCTGTTTTCTTTTTGCTGTCATTTGGATTAATCAAATATTTTTATGATGCTGTGTTATCTTCATTGGTTTTTATACTATTCGTTTTTATTTTGCTGTTTTTTATTGTTTTAGGGCATTTACTGTACATCTTTAATTATGACAGTCTGCCATCAAGTGATAAACCATTTCATATGATAGTAAGTATTTCGTTTTTTTCTCTGACCTTTATGTTATTGTTTTTTTGCATTTGACTTACATGTATACTGCACCATTATACCTTTGTTTGCATAGTTAATTATTCTTGAGAGATTTAAGTAATTAGGAAAAGTCTTATATTTTTACCTACATAATTATTGCCAGGTCTTTTTATTTCTCTGTGTAGACCATATTTCCCTCTGTTAACTTCTTTTCTGAAGTGTACATTTTCTGGTGATAAACTTAGTGTTCTTTCTTTCTTTCTTTTTTTAATTTTTTTTTGATACTGGGGATTGAATCTGGGTGCTTCACCACTAAGCTGTATCCCAGGCCTTTTTACATTTTTATTTTGAGAGAAAGACTCAATACTTTGCCCAGGCTGGCCTTGAACTTGCAATCCTCCTGCCTCAGCCTCCTGAGTAGCTGGGATTACAGGTGTGTACTACTGTGCCTGGCTTAGACTCAGCTTTTGAATGTCTGAAAAAGTTTTTGTTTTACCTCTGTATTTGAAAATCTTTTTGCTAGATATGGAATTCTAGGTTGTCATTTGTTTTTCCTTTAGTTTTAAAGATGTTCTGTTGTCTTCTTTGTTGCATAGTATTTCCTGACAAGAATTATCTTCTGTCATCCTCTTCCTTGTTCTATGTATATAACAGGCTTTTCTCTGTGACTGCTTTTAAAGTGTCAGTTCTCACTGGTTTTGAGCAATTTGAATCACAGTGGGCTTTGGTGTGGTGCTGGCATGTTCCTTTTGCCTGGTGTTCATTGAGCTTCCTGAATCTCTGCTTCTTGTGTTGCTTCCTTCCCTGGCCTCAGCAGCTTGCTGACACACTTAATGGTTCAATGCTCCGCTGGATCCTCAGGATTCCTAGAGTTTTATTTATCCCTGCCCTGCACACTCCTCTGTCACGTGAATCTCTTTTGACTCTCAGCTTCTTTTGAAGTGAAAAGGTCCACTGGCTTAGCTTAGTGTTTTCTTCTCCACATCTCGAGGGGCAGACACTCACAGGGCCCACCTTGTTTTCTGCCTTTCAGGGGTCTTTCAGCTGCCCTTTGTTGCCTCAGAGTCCTGAAAACTGTTGTCTGGTTTTTCAGGCAGGAAGGTGAATCCAGCCTTTGCCACCCCATCTCTGCTAGAAGAGGAAGTGCTGTGGTTTCTTAACTGAATAAATGCACTTACTTTAGTTGCATTTTCTTTCCCAACTGACCACTTAGACTTACCACTATTAATTGGTAACATTGTTATTATGAAGACCAGGTACTACTTTCAGTGTCACAAAGGTGAAATTAAATTTAAGAGTGATAATCTTAACAGGCATTTGATAAGAGTAAAGCACCACCTTTCCATTGAAACAGACTTTTCAGCTTTTACAGTTGTCACTCAGAAGTGAGTACCATCTGTCAAAATTACAGAGAGATATAGAGAGATGGAAATGGATCAGTGTTCCGGTTTCATGTCTGTAAATTGGATTTTATAAAATGGGCTTTTTGCTACCTATATGATTATGCTGTGAAATTAGAATGTATTTTTATATTCAAGTATCCTACCTTCCCTTTTGTTTATATTTTCATGTGAAGTTGGAACTTTGCAAATTGTGCTTGGACCTTGTGGTTACTAAACATGGAAACCTTCTGTGGCCACTCTGTACCAGTAGTTGCTTCTTTTCTTTTCCTGCGCTTCCTTCCTTGACTTATGCCTTTTCCTCTCTTTCCTGACACCTTTCCATTTGGAATGCACCTACTCCATCTACCATGTCCCCTCCAGTGGGGTAATATTGAGCAACCCACTCCTAGAGCTAAAGTTCTTTTGCCAGCTATGATAACTTTAGTAAGGAAGTAATGGTGTTACTCTAAAAATCACTCCTAGAGAGTTTGAATGCACAAGTAAGGTTGCTATTTTCTTTTAAAAGGAAAATATATAAATAATAGAAGTATATATCAGAAATGGAAGATTATTTGGGAAAATTTTAAAATGTAATCAATCAGTAATTGAGGGATTTCTTAAAACCAGTTGACTGTGTTGCCTTATGTAACTTTATTTTGATTCGTATTGTAAGGAAATATTAAACCCAATAAGTAGTAATTATTAATGTTTTGAAACTTGTCATTTAAAAAATTTTTTAAATTTGTCCACTGGTATATTAAGACATATAAACATGAATTTTCTCTGGAAATACAATTATATTATAATTCCCTTCTGCAATTTGATGTTTTTGATAATAATGATACATTTTAGAAATTTCTCCTTCCTGTTTCACTTGTAACTAATGGAAAACTTTTAGTGCTTCAACATGAAATCTTCTGGTTTTCAGTTTGATATATGCTTCCTTAATTCCTTAATTGTTAATGAAATATGACATATTGATAATGTTAAAATTTTGATACCTGAATTCCTTAGATTTTCTTTTGAAAGATTTTGACTTTCCTGGAATGAACTATTAATTAGTCATGATATGTTATTCTTTCATACTAAATTCTAATTCTGCATTCTATATTGTACCTATATTGGAATGGCATTTCATGGATTAATTTTTATAGATGAGATTAAAGTTTTGTTTCGTATGTTATCTTAGCAACATAACTTTTAAATATTAATATCTAAAAAAGTACTTAGAAGACTTATTGTCTCCTCTCTGGCATACTAGAAAGTAATACTGGAATCACCATTTCTTGAAGTTTCTATATTAAATTTATCTGTGTGTGTTGGTACATTTTAACATTTAAAAATTCCCTTTAATAACTGGTATTTCTTGGGAAATATGGTTTGCACAGACTTCCCAGAAGTATTAACATTCACTTGTAGTTGTTTTCTTACATTTCTAGAGATTTCCTCTCATGTTTGACTGTCTTCCCTAATTCTGAGAAATAGCTCTTATATTGCCTTTTTTAAAAATTGCACTCTTTCTCTCTCTTCAAGTTTATGATTTTTTACTTATATATTCTGTCTTTTCTTTTTCTTGGTGTTTTCATTCCCCTTTTAGTAACTTAGCAATTTAAATATTTAATTAGTTTATATTCATTTTTTTGATGAAGGCATTTGCCTGTATTTTAAGCCAGCTTCAGCTATTTTCCTTTCATTTTTAATTGATACTTTTTATTTTTCAATTCACATTTTTATTCTTATTTAATTTGTAACCCTTAGATGCTTTTGGTATTTCCTCTTAATATTTCTATGTTACTAGAACATGTTAGTTTGTGCTTTCTAGAGCACTATTTTTAGGAAGTGATTGCAGTTTCATTTTTGTATAATTGCATTGGCTAGTTTTTATAAATATATTTTTGGGGACTTTATAAAGAAATATTCTTTTTGATCACATAGTTATTGGTGCCTGATAGATGATATATTTATTATGGTTTTATCCAGTTTATTCTCATTTTGTGTTTCATAATTTGCATTTTTCTTTAGATGTGGTACTGTTAGAGTCAGCCAGTAATCTTTATTGAGCTTCTAAAAAATGATATTGAATTGCAGTTACATGTTTCTGGTTTTTTATCATTTGGAAAACGAATCAAAAACAAATTTATTACAGTCACATTACTGTGTAGATAAGGATAGGCCCCAGTAATGAGAACTCACATTGATAACAGTTTACATATGCAGTATTCACTTTCATTCAGTAGTAACTATTTTTTGAAAGTGAAGCAATAAAATGTTGAAATATTTTTCTATGTAAATCTACTGATTCTTGAATTTTTTTTCAAATATTGAAAACATAAATAACCTTATGAGAGCTAGCGCTAACTTATGGGGTGTGAAAAGGAAATTCATAATTTGATATTGGCTCAGGATATTATTTTTGTCCTTGCATGGAAAAATTATTTAAAACTCTTAATGCATGACAGTGCTTTAGGAAGCTATTTCAGTATTAGCCTCAAAGGACAGATTACTATTCTTTTCCCACCCTAATAAACTAGGTCACTGGTTTTTGGCACATTTCCATAATGTGAGATTTATTTGATGTTCAAGGGTGCTGTCTAGAAATAGTGATGCAGTGTCAGCAAGGCCATTTTTCATTTCATGAACATAATTTCCAGTACCTTGAATTAATTTATTCTTCAACCTGTTAATAATTACTTAGTCACTGTTGTTTCAGAGTTGGAAAAAGCGAGTGGAAGTGGCCATTGTTACCGAGTTAGGTAATGAGTTATGGAGTTCCTGTTCAGTTTAGAGGTTTGGCCTATTGAAGTGGTTGAAATTTTATGAAAACCAAGGAACAACTTTCTACTTGACACTGTGATAGTATTTGTTGCCTCAAGTGACTGCAGATACTCATCTAATCACCTGAGTGTTTTGTTGGATTACATTTTCCTATGGGCAACTTTATGCTCAGGGAAATTCTCTATTCTGCTCACCAGCCAGAAACAAGTACCTGAAAAACACAAATAACCATAATGCTTCTCTAAAATTAATTATTTATAGGTCCTATAATATTTAATACCTAAAACAAACTGTTTTAATTTAGTTATGTATCAGTTCAGTGTTTCAAAGAGAGATGAAGAAAATATGAATCACTCAAAACGACTAGCCTCGTTGGTGTTTCGAGGACCAGGAGCTGGGCTCTCTGGGTCTCATTTCTTGCTCTGTAGCCTTGGGAAAGTGACTTGACTCTTTTGAGTTTTGTTCCTTAAATCTGTAAGTGTGAGTAGCCTTGTGTAATATATAGTGTACTGTGAGGATGATGGGAATGAATGCACGCACAAAGTTTTGAAAGGATTCTGGTAGATAATTACCACCATCTCTGGGGGCAGTAGTAGTCCTTGTTATTATTGCTGTGAGCATGTTAGTCCTTTATGGATGTCCTCCAACCCCCTACTCCTTTGGCCATCCCTGTTCCTTCCTTGTCTAATAAATTGTTACTGTCTTCTGTGTGGTTAGGATACCTAGTTTTGTTAATTCCCCTGAGGATAAATTTTTAGAAATTTGGCCTAATTTTTAACTACTCAGGAGATATAATTCTCAAAGGATGGGCCAGTCAGCCTTGCCTGAACATAATTAATAGGA